GAATAGTCTTTGATTGTAGGTGAACTATAAATCCCAGTAACTACAACTCCTAAATGCCAAGGTCTATTTCCCTCAAACTCCATCTGTGTTCATATTTTTTTATTATTATTTGACTTGGCTCGGAGCGGTTTACAGCAGTAGATTAAAACAATACAACCAACTTTAAAATACAATAAAAATGAGAACCGACATAGTCCCGAGTTATTCACCCATCGAAGGCTTGTCGGACAAGAAAGGTCTTACAGGCCAAATTTGGTCCAGATCCATCATTGTTTGAGTCCACAGCGCTCTCTGAATGTAGGTGAACTACAACTTCCAAACTCAAGGTCAATGCCCACCAAATGCTGCTAGTATTTTCTGTTGGTCATGGGAGGCCTGTGTGCCAAGTTTGCTTCAATTCCATTGTTGGTGGACTTCAGAATGCTCTTTGATTATAGGTGAACTATAAATCCCAGCAACTACAACTCCCAAATGACAAAATCATAATTTTTGAGTGATGGTCACTCCTTGTGTAGTTAGATGTTTTGTTGCCAAATTTGGTGTGATTTCATTTGTTGGTTCTTTTGTTTTTAAGGTACTCATTATGCACAGAGCATAACTTTGGCCCTCCAGGTGTTTTGGACTTCAACTCCCACCAACTGTTAGGAAATGTGGGAGCTGAAGTCCAAAAAACCTGGAGTGCTGAAGTTTGCCCATGCCTGCTATAGAATATCTACAGGGGCATAAAGACCAGCAAGGAGCTTTGATGTTCTTGGATGCAGAGAAGGCGTTTGATAATATTTATTGGAGTTTTATAGCTAGGATGTTAGGAATGGTGGGAGTTGGAGTCCAAAAACCTGGAGGAAGGATGGCTGAAGTTGGCTCGTGGCTGATTTAATCTCACACTGAGATATCTTTGCCCTTTGAGAATAGCTCGCATTGCAAATAGTAAACATTAAGAGCCACTCCCTGGTGCAAGCTCTGTCATCAGCACAAGCAAGTCTGGGATGTGACCCATTTGCAGGCGCCCCCCTCCCTTTGCCCTCCACGTTGTGCTGTAACGTGACTTTCCCTGCAATATTGTTGATGTTCTGTTGAGCCCACGTGTCTGTGACGTGAAGGTAAACCTTCTCCATGTCCAATCTGTAGCCCGGAAAGTAGCCAGCTTCTTCAGGCTAGCAGATGGAGTGTGTGTGTGTGTGTGTACACTGCTGCTGCTTAGAGATGCAGAGCAGAAAGATGGAAGAGAAAGGAGATTCCCGTGAGAGCAAATGCAAGTATTCTTCTGCATATGAGCACACTGGCATTTGCATATAGACTTCTGAATAAATATTTAATGCTTGCGTAATGTTAGACCTGTTTCTGGATATATATTCAAAAAAGAAGGCGCCAGTTTACCCCTATTGGCTCTAGTTTTGAAGATATAAAACATATGCCATATACCTAAAAATAAAGTAAAATAATTGGGGTATAAATAAATAGAATGATACCAATAATAATAATGTCATCAATATTCCACAGTGCTCAAAGAAAGAAAAAGAAGCAAGTCCCAAGTGACCCAAACAGGACAGCCAAAACATTGTGTAATAATATCAACAACATCTTCGACACTATAAAGCAGGCATGGGCCAACTTCGGCCTTCCAAGTGTTTTGTACTTTAACTCCCATCATTCCTAACACCCCCAGACACTTTCCTTTCCCCCCTCAGCCACTTAAGAGGAAAAGGAAGGGGCCTGGAGCTGCTAGGAATAGTGAGAGTTGAAGTCCAAAACACTTGGAGGGAGTGCCCAAGTTGGCCCATGCCTGTTCTGAAACTTAGAAACTATGCTCTTCTTCCTCTTCTCAAGAATATCTATAATCTATAAAGCACAGAGTGGTCTTCTTTTATGATTATTTTTTTCCAATTAACAGCTAACAATGTAAACCAGGGGAAAATTCTGGGATTATAACACTTGTCTCATGGGCAATATTAATCTTTCTAAGCTTTTTCGTGACAGTGCTTATATTTCTGAAATATTTTTGACACAAGTTCTACTCTGTAACTAGAATACTTGGATTGGTCACACATTCGTATGTTGACGTTTCTGATTTGTTCGGTTTTGTTTAAGACCATAAATAATTCAAATTCCAGATGCAACCCTCTCTTTTTTTATATCAGCGTTTCTCAATCTGGGTCATGATGGGGGTGCCAGAGGGGTCACTAAAGACCATCAGAAAACACAGTATTTTCTGTTGGTAATTGGGGTTCTATGTGGGAAGCTTGGCCCAATTCTGTTGTTGGTGGGGTTCAAGGGGCTCTTTGATTGCAGGTGAACTACAACTACCAAATTTCAAGGACAATTTCCCCCTAATTCTACCAGTGTAACACTTTGGGCATATTGAGAATTCATGCCAAGTTTGGTCCAGATCCATCATTGTTTGAGTCCACAGTGCTCAGATATTTGAGTCCACAGTTCTCACATCATTCTTTGAATCTACATATTGAAATATATTTCTATAAAAGATCATTTCGCTGTGGGAGCTCCTCTTCTGGTAGGTTCTTCCACAGTCTTGGGGTGGCTCATGAACAGGGGGACAGTCACCAATTGGGTTTTGGCTGGTTGGAATAAATGGAAAACCCAGAGGACTTCAGTGCCCAAAGTGGTGGATTACACAGGTGAAGGTGATCCTGTAGGGATCCTGTTATGACGTTTAGAGTCCTCGAAACCATGGAGGACTTTAAATGTCAAAACCAACACCATGTACTTTCTCCAGAAACTAATTGGCAGC